CTCTATAATAAAAACACAAAAGATAAAGTGAAAAGAATAAAAGTAAAGTACTAAAAAAAATAAAGGAAGATGGAAAGAAATGACAAAACAATTGCAAACCAGACAGAAAAAAGTTAACAACATGGCATTAGTAAGTTCTCACCTATCATTAATTACTTTAAATGTAACTAGATTAAACTCTCTGATCAAAAGGCATAAAATACCTGAATGGATAAGAAAACAAAATCCAGAGATTGCTATCTACAAGAAGCTCATTTTGGAATTAAGGACACACATAGGCTGAAAGCGAAGGTATGGAAAAAGATATTCCATGCAAATAGTAACCAAAAGAAAGCCAAGGTGACTATACTTGTATAAGACAAAATAGACATTAAGAACTGTCTCTAGAGATAGTCATTTATAATGATTAAAGGGTCTATTCCACAGGAAGATATAGCAATTATAAATATATACACACCCAACATGAGAGCATATGTATATACCTCATATTGACAGATCTGAAGAGAGAAATCGAAAAATTAATAGTGTTAAAAAGACCATACTACCCAAAATGTTCTACAAATTCAATACAATCACTATAAAAATCCTAATAGAATTCTTTACAGAAATAGAAAAAAACTATCTTAAAAATCCATTGGAACCACAAAAGACATAGATAGCCAAAGCAATCTTGAGAAAGAACAATGCTAGAGGCATCACACTTCCTAACTGCAAAATATATTACAAAGTTATAGTAAATAGAGACACACAGACCAATGGAACAGTACAGAGAACCCAGAAATATATCCACAACTATTGATAACTGGTCTTCAACAAGGGTGCCAAGAACACACAATGGGAAAAGAAGGGTCTCTTCAATAAATGGTGGAAGCCTGGCTGGTGTGGTTCAGTGATTGAGCACCAGCCTATGAACTAAGAGGTCACAGTTTGATTCCCAGTCAGGGCACAGGTCCAGGTTGCGAGCTCACTCCCCCGTAGGGGGTGTGCAGGAGGCTCTCTCTCCCTCTCCCTTCCTCTCTGAAATCAATAAAAATATATTTTTTTTAAATGGTGAGAGAAAACTGGATATCCACATGCAGAGTAATGAATCTGGATTCTTATTCACACTAATACAAAAATCACCTCAAGGTGGATTAGAGACTTAAGACCTGAAATTATAAAACATTCAAAAGATAACAAGTGTTGGCAAGGATGTGGAGAAGATGGAACCCCTGTACACTGTTGGTGGGGATGCTAAATTGGTTCAGTCATTATGGAAAACAGTGTGAAATTTCCTCAAAAAAACAAAAATGAAACGACTTAAAAGATCCAGCAATCCCACTTCTATGTATATACCAAAGGCAATGAAATCGGGATCTCAAAGAGATATGTACACACCCATTTTTATTGCAGCATTATTCACAATAGTCAAGACATGGAAACAGTCTGTCCACCAACAGATGGATGATTAAAGAAGACATAGTATATCCGATGGAATATTATTCATCCAGAAAGAGGAAGGAAATTCTGACATTTGCCCCAACATGGACAAAACAGGAGGACATTTACTAAGTGAAATAAGCCAAACACAGAAAGACAAATGTTGCATAACCTCATTGGAATCAAAAACAGTTAAATTCATAGAAAGTGAGTGTTGGTTTCCACAGGCTAGGGAAATGGGGAATGGGGAGATGTTGTAAAGGGGAACAAACTTCAGTTATGCAAAATAAATAAACTAGGGAGTTGTAATGTGCAGCAATGTGACTACAGTTAACAATACTGTATTATACACAGGCAGACCTCAGAGATAATGTGGGCTTGGTTCCAGAAGACCACTAATAAAGTATTGCAATCCAGCGACTTGTACTCTTTTGCTGGCAGAGGGCCTTGCCTTCAATTTGTAACACACACAACATCTGCTAAGCACGATAAAATCAGGTGTGTCTGTACTTGAACTATGGCAAGAGGGTAAGTGTTCTCAAACCATTCCCTAACAGGTGACTATAACTATGTCAGGTCATGGGTATGTAAATTAGCTTGATCGTGGCAGTTATTTCACAATGTCTATGTACATCACAATGTCAAGTCTTAAGACTTAAATATACACAATTTTTATTTGAAATTATACCTCAGTAAAAATGGGGGGAATGTACAACACCATAAACAGACATTTACTATATATGGCATATGAACACATGAAAAGGTATTTAACATCACTATCCATTAAGGAAATACAAATTACAACCATGATGAATTATCATGATACACTTATTATAACCACAAATACAAAAAATAGTGATAATACCAAGTACGAGGAAGGACAGAAAGTCACTGAAGTTCTTAAACACTGCTGGTAGCAATGCAAAATGGTACAGCTACTCTGGAAAATAGTTTGGCAGTTTCTTAGAGAACAAAACATATACCATATTTTTCTGTGTATAAGATGTCCCCATGTATAAGACTTTCCCAACGCAAAATTAAGAAATCAATATTTTAAACATTTTGCTGGTTTTTCTCTTAAGGCCTTCTTTTTTGGCATCTTAAGGAGTTGTTCTTCCTGTTTTCTCCACTGTCTGATCCTACACTCAGTGGGAGGAGGTCCACATTGTCTCTCTGCAGCTCTGTTTCCATGTTCTTTTGCAGAGCTGATTGCATTCAGTTTGAATTTTGCAGAGTAAGACAATCACTTGCAGGTATTTATCTTTTTATTTTCTGACATCTTTATGGGCTTCGAATGCTCTGGTCCCTGTTGCATCTGCACACTCTCCACCTCCACCTCCAAGGCATCAGTGACGTCAGTGACAATAAGGCTCGTGATGGGAGGAAGCCTGTTTGACAAGGTATGGGCAGCTACACACCCGCAGGGCTCCCTCCTCGGCTGACTTCCGTGTATAAGACGCCCCTCGATTTTCAGTCTGATTTTAGAAAAAAATAGTGCCTTATACACGGAAAAATATGGTACTTACCAACAGGCACAATCACCCTCCTGGGTATTTATCTCAGAGAAATAATTATGTTCACACAAAAACCTGAACATGAGTCGTCATAGCAGCTTCATTTATTTATTATTATTTTATTTTGTTAATCCTCACCCTAGGATATTTTTTCCATTGATTTTTAGAGAAAGTGGAAGGGGAGGGACAGAGAGGGCAAGGGAAAGGAAGAAAAAAAAATCTATGTGAGAGACTACACAATTGGCTGCCTCCTGCCTGCTCTCTGATGGAGCTGGGATCAAACCTGAAAGGGAATTGAACCCTCAGACCCTTCTGTGGGTGGGCTGGCACTCTAACCACTGAGCAACACCAGTCAGGGCCATAGCAGCTTTATTTAAAACAGCCCAGCCCTGTCTGGGTAGCTCAGTTGACTTGAGCATCATCCTGACATGCCAAGGTTGCGGGTTTGATCCCCAGTCAGGGCACACACAAAAATCAACCAATGAACGCATAAAAAAGTGAAATAACAAATCAATGTTTCTCTCTCTTTCTCTCACTCTCTCTCTTAAAAATCAATAAATAAAAATAAAACAGCCCCAAATTAGAAACAACTAAAATGTCTTAATACATGAATGGCTAAACAAACTATGATACAGTCAGACGTGGAATACCACTTTAGTAATAAAAGAAATAAACTATTGGTACACACTAAAACTTGGATGAATCTCAATTTCAACTGTATGATTCCATTTATATACTGTTCTTGAAATGGCAAAATTGTGGAGATGAAGGGTATATCAGTAGTTGGCTGAGATTAGGAATGGTACAGAAGAAGGGCTTGGATATGATTATAAAGACGTGACACGAGAGGAATCTTTATGGTGGTGATAGAATAGTGCTGTATCTTATTTGAGGTGGTGGTTACATGAATCTCCACATGTGACAAAATGACATAGAGCTACTCACACACATTGCACCAACATCTATTTACAAATAATGTTGAGACTATATCATAGTCGTGTAATAACTAAAATAAATAATGGGGAAAATTTGTGAAGAATACAATAGTGCTAATTCCTATGAATCTATAACTATGTCATATAAAACCTTTTTAAATATATGCAAAACCTCAAAACAATCTGAAAAAATTTTCTTCTTAAGTAAGCAAGCAAGAGCCCTGGCTGGTGTGACTCAGCAGGTAGATCATCGACCCTCGCACCAAAGGTCGAGGCTTGGCTTCCTGGTCAAGGGCATGTATCTGGGTTGCAGTTAGATCCGTTGACCTGGTCAGAAATGTGGAGGCAACCAATCGATGTATTTGCTTCTCACATTAATGTTTCTCTCTCTCTCTCTCTCTCTCTCTCTCTCTCTCTCCCTCTCTCTCTCCCTCTCCCTTCCTCTCTGAAATCAATAAGAATATATATATTTTTAACTCTAAAAAGAAAAATATCCTTGGGTGAGGATTTAAAAAAAAGCAAGCATGAGATGGAGAAAAAAATGCAAAACATATATTTGATAAACTCTTTCAGTTCAACAAGACCAAAAAAAAGCCCACTAATCCCCCCCCCAATATGAAACAAACAAAAAAAAAGAACAAAGATTTGGTCATCTGATCAGATGCTTCATTAAAGGAGATTATGAATGGTTAAAAAGCACATGAAAAGAGGCTTAACATTGTTAGTCACCAGGGAAATGCAAATTACAACCCAGTAAGAGTTAACTAGACACCAACTACAACGCTTAAAAATAATAAGACCAAACCAAATCTTGGTAACCAAAGAGCAATGAGAACTCTGGGACATTACTGAGGGGCAAGAGAAACAGTAGAGCCAACTTGGAAACATCTGGCGGTTTCTTATAAAATTACACATAAACTTACCAGAAGACCCAGCAAACCCACTCTTAGGTATCTGGTTACCCTGACAACGGTCACCTACCAAGAGCTGACAGCAAACATCACAGCTCACAGTAAAATATAAAACTATTTTCCCTCAAGATTGACTGGATCTATTTCTATTTCTTTTTCCATGTAACGCAGAGCCCTCTAAGCCTCATAAACCCATTACAAGAGACAGTGGGGAATGGCTAAGGAGCTCACCTGAGGTACGTTCATTTTCTGTGGCTCTTGGGAGAGTGTGGAGAACTGAGGTTCAGCTGAGGGACAGAAAGAAGGGGGGGTCACAGAAGACCTGGCCCTTTCAGCTCCTAGATACACTCCCCAGGCCACCCCCCGGCCGGTGCCTTACAGGAGGCAGCCTCGTGAACACACACTTTCCTCCACTCATTGTCAACAACGCACGTGTCCTTCTGACGAACAAAGAAATAAAAACTGAGGATTCAGTGAATGAAATTGCACCAAAGGAAGGCCACAGTGGTTTCATTCTGATTAATTTATCAGAAAAACACTCAGTGTGCATTTACTTTTTGCAGTGATATCATTAACACCGAGTTAAAAAGATGGGTGCTGCGAGGCAAGCTTTTTATTTGTTGGTTTCAGCTTTGATGTGTCTCAAAAAGCCCTTTTGGTAGGATTTTTTGGTAACTTACTTGTAGGAGAGAGAAGAACGATGTTTTCCTCCTGACTCACAAACTAAGTTTCCCTGGACCAGTCACTGAAGGTTTGAAGATGAATCTTCAAAAGAGTCAGAAATTGATGACTTTGGAAGAGCCTTCCAGTCCCTCACTCTGGGGTCCCGTGAGCTCAGGATGTCAGCCGTGTCCCGGGTGATGGACAGCGTGCCCCCAGCACAGCATCTGTAAAGGGGGGAGGATGTTTAGGGAAAGTGGAGACCTTCCCCCCGCTGCCTGGTTACCCCGCCCCCCAGGCCTCACTCACAAGCTCTCCAAGGACCTGGCCCTCCCTGAGCCCCTGGCCCCTGGGTCACCCAGCTCACCTAGCTCCACCCGCCCCCACCGGCCACAGAGTGGTGGCTTCTGGAGGTGGTGTCAGCACCAGGACTGGCCCATCCTGGCCAGAGCATCAAGAGCTGCTTCTGACCTTGCAGATGCAGGGTCTGCTCCTCTCTGGGCTCCTCTGCCTCTGCTCTGAAGCTCCGCCCAGAGGCCTGTGGTCAGAGGGTGCTCCTTCCAGGGGAGACTGCGCACAGAGCCCTGCTTCCTATAGGCGTTTCTTGTTTCCAGGGAACTGAAACACAGACCTGAGAAAGATGCATCTGAGGGGCAAAGCCCTGACTCTTAGAATTCATTGTATGTCAGACCTAAGAGCCTGACCGAGCAGAAGGGCCAGAAACCTCCGCCTGCCCCTGGGATCGGAAGAGACACTGGAAACCCAGAGTCCATTTCACACGTGGTACAGCCCACCTGTGCGCTTTCCCTTCTGCCCCTGGTCCTCCGGAAGGTGGCTGTGCCTGCCTGTGAGGGCTGCGGGCTGGCGAGGGCAGGTGTGACGTCTACACGAAGCCTGAGGTTCCAGCACGACGAGCACACCTTGCTTCACTGCGCTTCACCGGTGGGGCGTGTTTTACACATCGAAGGCGAGAGGCTCCCCCAGCAGAGATGCCCCCTCGCTGTGCTGTGGCAAAGCCTGTCTGTGCAGCCCCCAGCCCTCCCCTCGGTGCGCACGCGTGGGCACAGCGCTCCCCCAGCCTGAGCTCAGGGTCCGCTGCGGGGACTACGAGGGGGCAGGAGGCCACACAACGAAAAGGACAGACGGGAACGGAGTGGCGTGTCCTCTAAGAGAACAGCCGCCACGTGGTGCTTCCTCCCTGGCACCTGCTCTGTATTTCACAAGTGATGACCTGGATCTGGGTGTCAAAACAACCATGAAGGAGGCATTAACACCGTCATTTTCAGATGCGAAACTGACTCTCATGCAGGTCCCTCTGTCCCCCTGCACAGGGGCAGCGCTGGACTTTCCTGGTCTTTCCTGCGGGAGCTGGGCTCTCGCTGCC